CCCTCTCTCTCTCTCTCTCTCTCTCTCTCTCTCTCTCTCTCTCTCTCTCTCTCTCTCTCTCTCTCTCTTTCTCCTCCCCCCCCCTCTCTCTCTCTCTCTCTCTCTAATTTTCTTTCTCCTCCTCTCTTTCTCCCCCCTTCTCTCTCTCTCTCTCCCTCTCTCTCTCTCTCTCCCTACGTATCTTTCTCCCTCCTTCTCCCCCCTCTCTCTCCCACTCTCTCTTTCTATCCTTATTAACTATGTGAATGTTTTCCTATTTGGCTTTGTCCTATCAGAGATGGGCATTAGATTCGGTGGTCCCGCCTCTGAAACAATTTGGGAGCGTTAAAACGAGGCAATTTCGCAAATTTCGACCATTGTGTAAGTTTTTACTAATTTGCCTTCTTCGAAATATTGCAAATTGTATAGTAATCAATCAATAGATCCTAAAATGTAGTGGTAGTGGTTAAAAGGCTCCTTTTTAACCTGGGTTGCAGTATTCTATTCACCTCAGGTATTTTTCGTTTCATTTATTTATTTATTTATTTATTTATTTATTTATTTATTTATTTATTTATTTATTTATTTATTTATCTGTTTATTTATTTATTTATTTATCTGTTTATTTATTTATTTATTTATTTGTTTATTTATTTATTTATTTATCTGTTTATTTATTTATTTATTTATATGTTTGTCTATTTATTAATTTATTTATTTGCTTTCTTATCGATATATTCACTAATCAATTTATTTATTTACTCATTGTACTCCAGATAGGAATCAAAACTTGAATAAATAAGCTACATGTGTCGCATATGGCGTTGGAAACACGATAAAATCATCATCATGGTGATCAGCAACAGCAGCAAAAGAAAGAGAAGCACCAGCCGCAACATTGTTGTATTATTTTTCCGAACACGTTACTCTCTTTTTCTCTCTGTCTCTCTTTTCTTCCTATATCTCAGTGACCCCCCCCCCTCTCTCTCTCTCTCTCTCTCTCTCTCTCTCTCTCTCTCTCTCTCTCTCTCTCTCTCTCTCTCTCTCTCTCTCTGCTTGTCTGTCCGTCTGTCTATCCTTTCTCCTCCAAACACACACACTCACACACACACACACACACACACACACACACACACACACACACACACACACACACACACACACACACACACATGCACACACATACGCACGCTCACACACAAAAAGCCCACACCTTATTTGCAAGGGCATCATCTGATGTCAATTTAATGAGTCTATTTTGTTCCTTGTCTAGCCGCCCCCAATCCCCCTTTCCTTCTAGCTCATTCACTATTCCCATCCCTTTCCCTTTGTGATCTTAAAGCTAAATTTAAACTTAAACCGCTTTCTTTTTCGTCTTGAAATAGAGCAAACAAGAGAAAGGCAGACCAAAAATCAACATGGGATCGTCTTTCTAAAGAACGGGGTTTTTTCCGTACTCATTACTAGTTCGCTCTCTCGCTCGTGGGCAAACTTTACGTGAGTATAAGACGTAAAGAAAACAACATTACATGCAACCCTGTCCTACGCGTGCGTGCTTCAGTCAAAATTACTTATTTCCATTTTCAGTCTCTGACACATTTTCATTCTTGGTAGCCCTAGTATTTTTGGTTAAATTTATTCTTTCCTTATTCACACAAACCATACAATACACTTTATCAGCTAGTGATGGGCGAACTATTATTATTATTATTATTATTATTATTATTATTATTATTATTATTATTATTATTATTATTATTATTATTATTATTATTACTATTATTATTATCATTATTATTATTATTATTACTATTATTATTACTATTATTATTATTTATTATTATTATTATTATTATTATTATTATTATTATTATTATTATTATTATTATTATTATTGTTATTATTATTTTCATTGTTGCTGTTGTTGTTGTTGCTATCATTGGTGGTAGTAGTAGTAGTAGTAGTAGTAGTAGTAGTAGTAGTAGTAGTAGTAGTAGTAGTAGTAGTAGTAGTAGTAGTAGTAGTAGTATCACGAATATGATTGTTGTTGCTGTTGTTGTTGCTATCTACAGAGTAAGCACTATTTGAAAAATACTATTCCCCGTTACTGAAGACTTACGTTCGAATCCCCGATATTACTTTCTGGACTTTATGTTTTTTTAATGTTTTTTTCTCTTAACGCTGTATTGCTGGAGAACTTGCACTGGTGATTATGGTGTAGTGGCAAGGCTCTTCGCACTCGCACACAGACGAATCAATGAGTTCCATTCCCGTGTCTGGGAAAACATTTTATCGTGTGTCTTGGTCTTTCTTCGGTTGGGACGTTGTATTCGCCTCAGCCCGGGTCGAAGCCAGACTCCTAAATGATCTGAATTGTGTTGATATGTGCGTAAAACATTTAAAATACGAAAGAAAAGGAGTACTTTCGAAGCCTATTATGTCTTTTATGTGATGCTGCCAAGAACGCAATACTTAAACTTAACTTTACAGACCCGTCATGGTGGCGTTGATGGCCTAGTAATTAGGCTACCAGGCCTGTAATCGTGAGATTGCCGATTCGGGGGTTCGTGCCTTAGCTAGGTCCGACGTTGTGTCCTTGAATTTCCTATTTGGCTAGGTCTTTTCGGGGATGGATGTTGAACTCAGAGGTCCTGCCTCTTAAATAAATATTCCTAATTGTGTTGATAGGAGCGTTCAACCTATTACATGTCACCATTTCAGACCCGTCAAAACTCAAAAACAACCTCAAATAGTAACACATTCGAGCCTTGTTCGAACTGCCACCTGTCTGTAAAAGATAATCAGCTGTACAAAATGCCACTTCCCATTTCCTCTCTAGCGTTTTTCAACGTTATAATTACACTTTGTAAGACGTCCACTCGTATAAGACGGCCATTTTTTCTCCTAGACAATAGGTGGCTATCTTAGACAAGTTTGACTGCATTCTTAGTTTGATCGAGAGATCCATTTGATTTTTATAGAAGTTACTACACCTATGGCATCGGTTGCAAGAGCTCAAGAAATATTAAATAATTTTGTCAAATTCAAATTCTTAATGTTAAAAAAGATATATACTGGCGAGCAAAAGAAAGTGGGCAGTTTTCAAATCGGTTCTGTATGAGTAGTTTAGCCAATTTTGACTTGGCGATTGGTATGCTGAGCTTGAGTCACTTCAGAAAGTCGGTCAGACAACATTTGTTTATTTTGTTGGTATAAAAAATGTTTTCAATACGTTTGACCAAAAACGTGTTTTCTCGTTTTTTCTTGAAAGTTTACAATACCTTTACTTTTATTCTTTTTTTTTTTTACACACTTCAACGTGTAAAGCGAAAAGGCCGTCAACAAATTTGGGTTTGTACTTTTCAATTTTGTTTTATACCATGCCTCGTCTCAGTGATGCGCAACGTCAAGAAGCTCTTGGCATGCAGAGAGCAATGCGACGGTTTCTGCTGTAGTTAGAGCTTTCAACGTGACGAGAGATACTCTCCAAAAGCTAAGGATACACTTCCAAGCAAGTGGTTCGATTAGTGACACTCCAAGGTCTGGTCGTCCTCGTGTCTCTACTGCTGTTGAAGACAATCGGATCAGAGTTTCACACTTACGGGATCGGTTTCAAACAGCTTCTAAAACTGCCAGAGATTGGCCTGGGTATAGACCAATCAGCCGCTCTACCGTTCGTCGACGCTTGAAAGCCCACGGAATCGTTGCCCGACACCCACCTCGACGCCACTCGTCTCCTCCAAAGACACCGTCATGCCAGACTCAACTGGGCACATCTGCACTGGTGATGGCTAAACCGCCAGGGGAACGGAGTGATGTTTTCTGACAAGTCCAGATTTTTTTTGGATCGCCACGATGGAAGGCAGAAAGTCTACCGGAGACGTCATGAACGTTATTTTTCTCAGTGTGTCAGTGCTGTTGCTGACAAACGTAGCATTATGGTATGGGAATCCATAACCAGTACTGATAAATTCGATCTAGTCATTATCGACGGTAATCTGACTGCCCAGAGATACATCAATGACGATCTCTATCCACACCTTCTGCCGTTTCTGGCTCGCCACAGGAACAATCTCGTGTGCCAGCAGGACAATGCTCCTGCACACGGTGCCTTTATTACCCAGAGATTCTTACAACAAAAATGACGTACGTGCTATAACACCGTTTCCAGTATTATCCCCAAATTTAAACGTGATTGAGCACCTCTGGGACACGATGGACAAGGAAATTCGCACCCTTCGGCCACCTTCAACGACAATCCCACAACTGCAGCAATCATGAATTGATGCTTGGAATAATATTCCCCAGCAATTTATCCAACGACATGTGCAATCCACGAAGTGGAGATGCACTTTAGTCATCAATGCTGGTGGGAGTTACACCCGTTACTAATTCTGGGATTTTGGACATTTGAATAGGTGTTATTAATTTCTAATAAAAGGTGTTATTAATTTCTAATAAAAGGTGTGCTTTTGATCGTTTTTCTTAGTTTTTTGTCTGCATTTATTGAAAAAAATGGCAAAAAAACTTTCAAAATTCATTGGCAATACGGCATTACTACTGTAAAGAACGGAAATAATGCACAGAACGTAGGGTGCCCACTTTCTTTTGCTCGTCAGTATATTATGATGTGGGTACAATATTTAATTGTAAAATTAATGAAGCAAGTGTTGTTGTTTTTTTCTGACAATATTTGCTTTCTCAGGTTTAAAGCTTACGAAAGACATGTAACCAACCTCAAAGTATCTCTTGGCATACACACTCGTTAATGTAGATGTTTTTACGCCCCCATCTACACAGATTAGATAATTTAGGAGGCCGGCTTAAATTTTGACTGTCAAAGCCAACCCGGGCTGAGAGGGATGCTCGATAAAAGTCTCCCCATCTGAGATTCAAACTCAGGTCTTTGGACTGCGACGAAGAAGCGCCTAATCGCTACGTCACAAATGTCGGTGCATATATTACACTACGCACACTTGTATTAATACACGATAAAGAAAAACAACGTAACTCCAACAAGATTCGATCTAGTCCATGAATTCAATCACATAATCATATTACATGAGAACAGTGGGCACGGGGGCGGGGTAGGGTGGGGTGGGGGGTGGGGGTAGGGGAATAAATTGGAGAGAACATCAGCCAAAAAACGGAATAACATTGTACTGCATGCTGTGTCCACGATGTCGGGGTATGCTGGAGAGAGGCGGGCACACGTTATAGTCCACTCCGATCTTCCCGATCTCCTCGCAGATGTCGTAGAGTTTGTCCCAGGTCAGAGCGGCGATGACGCTGAAGCGCGCGAAGAAAGGCGGACGTCCGACGGGCATGGTGTTGGAGAGGACTCCGATGATCTTGCTGGCTTCCCGGGAATCGTCGGTGAGGACGGCCGCTCCGGAGTTGCCCACCGAGGAGTCGCAGCGGGTCAGGATCAGGTTGCCGTCCACCATTGCTTTGTTGGATCTATTAGGAAAAGGCAAATTATTTATTATTAACTTAAAGATTTTTGTTTTGTTTTAGTAAATGTTTTACAACACTTGCAACATAATAAGGTCATATAAGTGCCGAAGATTAGAGTTGTTACAAGAGAGTAACAAACGCAAAAAAGAAGAAGGAGAGATAAGGACGACAGAATCAAATGTTTGATTGGAAAGAAGAAGCAAACCATACCAGAGCACCCGCCAACCACCCACCAACTTAGAAATTTGATATGGGTTGCCTTTCTCCCACCATTGCTTTGTTGGATCTAGAAGGAAAAATAAAAACTCAGTATGTATCAACTAACAGATTCGAATAGGCTGCCATCCACGATTGTTTTGTTGGATCTTTAAAAGGAAAAAGCATATTTTAAATCAACTTAAAGATTCAAATACGTTGCCATCTACCATTGCTTTGCTGGATCTGGAAGGGAAAATGAAAACTCAGCATCAACTAAAAGATTCGAATAGGCTGCAGTCCATAGTTGTTTTGTTGGATCTTATAAAGGGAAAAACATAAAATACACAGCCATCTACCGTTACTTTGTTGGATCTGGATGGAAGCAACAAGCGATTTTTTTTTCCAATTTAAAAATCCAAATATGTTGCAGTCTATCTTTGCTTTGTTGGATCTGGAATGAAATAAAAGCTTTTTTTATATGAACTTTAAAATTTGGAAGAGGGTTGCCGTCTACCTTTGATTTGTTGGATCTGAAAGGGAAAACGCAAATTTTTATTATTAACTTAACAAGATTCGAAGATGTTTGGCTTTCCTTTGTTATTTTGTTTTGTTCTAATCTGGAAGCAAAATCCCCACTGTTTGCGAAGGAAATATACCTAACCGCTATTTCAAAGACTCCAGAATTATTTGTTTCTAAGTAGGGATTGGGGGATTTTGACTGTTCCATTTCTGTTCTATTCTGACATTTTATTAAGTCTACAGTATATTCGGCTTAACATTATCCTCTTTCTTTTAGTTCAACTGCTATACTTTCCAACATAATATCTTAAAGGTCAATTCTTTCGAAATGGTAGCATTGCTTTGCAAAAAGTTAATCAGCGGTGAAATTGCCGAGTAAAATTGTATTGTTCGGAGTCTCGAAATCGGAACGAGCAAAAGAGTCACGAGCATAGAATATTCTATCAGCAGGCTTCTTCTTACGTTCTAAGTAGAAACAATATCTACATTAATTTTGTATAGTTGGCATTTCCTCCTGGGCGGAGCAGGACAATGTGTTTAAGACTCCCTCTCTGTCAGAGAGATTCTATTTCTATGTGTCTTTGTTTCTGTCTGTTTCTCCTCCCCCCCCTCCCCCCACAACCACATCTCTATTACTCTATCTATCACTCTGTCATTTTATCTATCTATCTATCTATCTATCTATCTATCTGTTTGTCTGTCTGTCTGTCTGTCTGTCTGTCTGTCTGTCTGTC